ATATATGTAATTTGAAATTATAATTAGCTTAGATTTTAAAAAAATCTAACAGTTTAGGTATTATCATTATTATAATTAAAATTCTAACAATTTAGGTATTATTATTACTACTAGATATATATAGGAGTGTCGGTGCTAGCACGGGCCCAACATAGGCTATTCGTGATATCTCAAATTATGTGATATAGATGAAATTTGGAGAGTGATTTCAAATTTTTATTGGAGTTGTTATTTATAGTGATTTAATTTTTTAAAAATAATATGCATTACTCCCACTATCCCGATTGAAGTGGCACACATAGAATTTTAAGAGTCAACAAATTGTTTATATACTATATATATATATATATATATATATATATATATATATATATATATTAAACTGTTAATTGTTGTGATTTTTTGTATCTTTTTATGTAAAATAATATATGTTACTTTCTGATTGAATTTTAAGAGTCAACTATTATTATTTTTTAAATATTTAAATTTTTTAATTATTGTGATTTATATTACTTTTTACAATATCTTAAAATAATATATGTGACTTCCTCCATTCTTATTTATGTTGTATCAATAGAATTTTGAGAGTCAATCATTTTCTAATATACATCTTTAAAATATTTTAAGTTGTTAATTATGTGATTTATAGTATTTTTTTACGTAATTTTCAAATATATAGCAAGCCAAAAAGAAAAGTAAAACATACAAATTGAAATGAAGAAAGCACATAAATTTCATAAAAACGCTCAGCTAGAAACAGATATGTCAAGAAGGGGTGTCTGCTTCTAACCCCAATTTATGTAATATAGTTTGATTTGACATGAAGTTTAAATAAAATAAATAAATATGAAACTTATAGTCTAAAATAAGTTGTAAATATTTGTGTGACTATAAATATTTCATTATGAAGAAAATGAGCATTTTAAAGTTAAATTATTACCAAATACAGAAATATAACAATCTTATGAAGACCGACTAAAAAGAAAAGTGAGTAGTATAAATTGAAACAATTAAGTTAACGATTCTAACATTGTTAAGTATTTCTTTTTCAGTTGGGAAATTGTTAAAAATATAATGATGAATGATGATATGGGCAAATTGGTCCAAGTGTGCAAAAAGATTATAGGGAAAGTACAATGAGATCAGTTTTTGGTAGAGCTGTCAATATGGGCTAGCCCATTCCATCCGGGCTAACCCATACAGCCTACAGGCTTGGAGACGGGTCAGGCCGGGCTAGCCCATTTTTGGTGTGGGCCAGAAAATGGTCGGCCCAGTCCATACTTATATGGGCTACAGGCTTGCCGGGCCAGCCCTCTTTTTTAAAAAATATTTTTTTTTATAATTTTTAAAATTAATTATAGTTTAAAAATATTATCATAAATATTGACAAGATAATATTACATGGTGTTAGTGTTACTACTTGTTAATCAAATCCACAAATAAAATTATCTTTATAATATTTATTAAGTTTGATTTCAAGTAAAAACATAAATAGCTAAATAAAAATATTAACCTAATTGTTTTCCAATGATCATAATAAAAACACAAAAACTATGACAATATTTCATAGGCTATGGCCTATGTTGTAATTCCTAGAAATTTTAGGGAATTTTTATTTTATGTAGTACATATTTTATAAACATAATTTATATTTAAATTGTAATATTTCAAACTTTAAACAGATTTTGAGTTTAGACTCTTGTTATTTTTAATACTCTATTTTATTTTTATTTGGCCCATGGGCCGGCCCTATCTATATTTCTCAAGCCCCACAAATCGACAGGCTTATTCAGGCCGGGCTAAAGAGCCCTTTTCTTAAATGGGCTCCAAAAATCGTAGCCCAACCCTATCAAATCACGGGTTAGGCCAGGCCAGCCCGACGGGCCTAGCCCATATTGATGGCTCTAGGTTTTGGCCAACAATATTTTGTGATTATTAGCAAATTTACCTAAATGCCTTATAGGGATCAAATTGCAAAAGGTGGGAGTTACGTGACATTGAGTAGAAGTTCAGGATAGTTTTGTCATTTGAAGTCCCAAAAGAACAAAGAAGCCCCCTTCCCAAGCAAGACAATGCACAAAAAGTAACAAAGAATGACCATATTGCCTTTAAAATTAATTTTAAAGACCCTAAGCTGACATGTTGACCAGCTATGTGGTTATTGCCACTTATTATATAGTAGTAGACTAGAGAGGCATGGCCCGTGCTTAGCACAGGCCCAACATTGTAAGTTCCTTCTCCATAAATAATAAATTTAGCTGTATAAACTACAAATTGCAAATAAACAATTTATTCAAGTGATGTCGATGTATCAGTGAAAGAGATGATCAAGTAAGAGCAGACATGGTCAAAGTAATTAGAAACATTCTGCATTTACAGCATATCATTTCATGAAGAACATCAACTCTTCAACTCTTTGTAGATATCTACTTTTCCGCGCCCAAACATTAGTACCTGTTGTTCCTGCAAATTATTGAAAAGTGAACACACCAGAAGTAGTCAACACAAGTTTCTGTTGAAGTCTATCAAGGTCAATTTTCATCTTTAGGCATGTGAAATTGTACTGAAGGAATGATAATCAAAGAATCTGAAATCAATCCTTTTCCATGATTTGATCTATTCTGTTTCTAGAACTTGATTGTTTTTTCAGTCACGTACCTCACTCAACAATACAATTGTTAAAGCGAGCAAGGATCCAAAAGTAGTAACTGGTAAGTATTCCAAATGTCTTTGCATCACAAAGGAGCCAAATTCATAAAACTTGAACTCAGCTGACTAAATCCGAAAGTTACATACTTAATAGGTTAAATAATTGAGAGCTTACAATACAGATGAAACTGATAATCTTAGCTGCTGGTCAAACAAAAGAATGACCACTGTGATTTCTTCCCAAAAAAAATCAAAATATACGCATGTAATGTATCAGTAAATCACTTGAAGCCTACAATTCACACCATTTCACAGAAAATTAGAGATATCGTGAATCGGGTCAAGAGTAGCACCAATATATTAGGAGTTATTGATAGCCAAAAGCAAATAAACCTGCATAAATCAAAGAATTTCATAAAAATATAGTGAATTGGACCAGGAATAGCAACAATGTACAAAGAGAACACATTAAGATAAGTATTAGGCTTTATTTCTTACTTTTCAATATGAGATACCAACATATTAGTAGAGTAAGCAGTTAGAGATATGATAAATTACACCTCAAACTCACGATTTTAACATAAATTTAATAAAAATGTCATACTTAGTCTCAATTTTTCAATACCATTGAATCATGGTATGATAGTTCAAATAAGGTTCATTCTAACACCAAGTAAACAAATGTGACAAAATTCAATATCTCAATTCAACTAAATGAGTGTTCATTTTCGATCCAAGATATATGTCCTTTGAATATGAAGCATAATGTAGAGAATAGAATGGCAAAAGAAATATCGAGGATTAACGTCCATGCTAAGTGATGAGCTTGATAGTAGATAGTTGTAGAAAAACAGTTAAACAAACTTGTTGGCAATCTTCCTTTCACCGGAAAATTTTGTCAAACACACTGGTCACTTCAATCCTCTTCGCTTGTTGTTACTACTATTTTTATCCGATAGGTTCTCCCGAGGCTAGAATCCACAAATAAAAAACATGAATAAAGAGGAAATTTGAGCATTAAAAAAAAACACTAACCGCAAGAGAAGTGATGTATAAATTTCATAGCCTAAGATTATAATCACTTTTTTTTTACAATCAAAAGATTAGACTCTACACATTTACAACATAAACAGATCTCAAATATCAAACCAACACTGTGAACTGAAAAAACAACATTATCAATCAAGTTCTTTCTGAACATCCATAAAATTTGACTTACAAATCGACTCCAACGGAGGGTAAAGTTGAAGATGTCACATGGCCACTACAGTTGCTTCCTAGTTCAACTCTGGAAGCCTATACATGTACCTAGGAAAGGGTTTAGGGTCGAGCCCCGATTTAAATGTCCAGTTGAAGAAACGTCCACCAAGTACGGTTCAATTCTCAACTTGCTTCTATCAAACTATTGCATATAGTGACAGATTTAGATTTTTCACCAATGAGTGAGAAAATAGATATGTAGTGGTTATGATCTAAATGTGGAATCTGAAGATAAGCGTTAAGAGTTCATTGGTATCTACTATCTATTTAAGTACAAATAAAGTGAGCCGTAGAAAATCATATTAAAAAAACGATAAACTTACTACTATCCAAGCTAACAGCCTGAACAATTTAATACAAAGTAGACAAAAAGTTGACATTTTAATCATCATAAAAAATTTCCTGTAGTGAAAAAATACAATAGGCAAATATGGAATAATAAATCACCGATTGACTTATATGTGTGGCTGAATTATTTTTCTAGCTTTCATCCATTTTGATAAAGCTTGTCATTTTTTTTATATGGTACTTTCAGAAATCGAGCTATTCAAATAAGAGTTTTTGTGGCTTGTTCTATATAACCTAAACTTCAAGTTTAAAATATCAATATTGAAATGTAACCTAAACTGTCATGCACAAGATCACAACATCAAGAAGAAGATTGTCTGATTTACTTGAATATCCATAAACAACCTGATAATAGAACGGTCAATCTAACTATATATAATGTTATTACTTGCTATACCTTTCATCGAGGCAAGGGAATGCATTCATATCTTTCATCCTTGGTGAAGAGGGAGAAGTAAAATTTTCCAGTCGTCTTTGCTTTTCTTCTGCTCAAGAGGTGCTTAAGCGGCTCTCCTAAAGAATTTTGATTTCCACAACAAGGTTTATCACAACAACAGTGTCACATCTTGGCTTACCAGATACCTTTCTTCTTATTGCTGCATTTGCTGGAACACCTTTTTCTTCTTGCTATGTTGCTTGGTCTCTTCGTGTCGGATACTCCAAAAGTAATGCATTTGAAAAATTCGATACGGATGCAACAACGATTTAGGAGAGTCCGAGCCATATAGCCTACTATAACTCTATTGAAAACACTTAAAGTGGTTTATGCAAAATAAGAAAACTTTGAACATATATGGACCAGTCGCCTTTCTATCCTAAATACTAAAGTTTTCTATAATTACATTGTGCTACAGAACGTTTACCTTGTTCTTCTCTGCACTGCTTGTGCATTTGACACTGAATGAGCCAAAAGGGAACTCATGAAAAATAAGATAGTTAGTTATTGTAATACGGTGGAGAAAAGCGATTTGCTTTCATTACCAGTTGAAGCATCCACAAGGTTTCTAGTGACCCCGAGAACATGCTATTTTTTTCCATCTGCTTGTCCACCCTTGTGCTTACATCTTGCCATATGCTAGAAAAATAAGAAAACAACATTAAAATTAGTCGTCAAATGGATCAATATTAGCAAATCTGAAAAGGAAACAATTCAAAGGAGGAAAGAAAACACATGCCCTACTTTACATTCACATGATCTTTTCTCATTTTTTCAAAAATGGAACTACTCTTAAGATGGAACTATACGTTTGTTCTTTCTCCGAAATCACTTTCGAGTTGTCATTGCTCTACATATAGGCTCTCTTTGTTATTTTTCTAAGTCATTCACAATACAACTCTCAAGTCAAATTAAAAATTCAAAATAAAAATAACTCCAAATATAGCGAGCTCAAACTATGCACAAATAGAAAAAAATTGACAAATTCTAAAAGAAAGAAAACCCACAAAAAAGCTCCAGATGCACTATAGTACTACATCACATGGTCTAGTACATATACATTTTCAAAACATACATCATTATATAACACGAAATTAGGAACATGAAAGTGCAAAATTCTACCATAAACTACTCAAAATGCAAAGAGAAAAAGAGAAAAGTGAGAAGAATAAAAATGGGAAAATCAATTTTCGAACAACCATGAGTAAATCAAACCAAATTAGTAACATGCAAGAATAAAATCCTACAACAATGCATTCAAAAATCATAAAATCAAATAAATATAAAAAAAGAACTGGAAACAAATTAGGACTTGAAGGATAAAGATAGTTATTTTACAATCATCACATATAATACATGTAATCTTTGAAGAGAAAAAAACAGATGCAGAAGAAGGGCAAAAAGAGTCACCCGTTTCAAGATGAAAAGAGAAAGGGATGAGAGATGATTATACTTTGCAAAGAGAAAGACAATTTATTTTTATCAAAAGCAGAGGTAATTTCAGTTCCTTACACGTGGATATAAAGCAACTATTGCCAATAAAAATGGGCCAGACAGAGCAAAAAATGTAGGGATAATTGTATAGAATGGCAAACTTATAATCTAAAATAAATGGAGTAGCTACTGTTTGATTTAATTGCGTCCCGTAGCAAACGTTTGCTAGTTGCCTCCTCCCTCCAAATTCTCACTCGCCACTCTCCCTTTCTCGCTCGCTCCCTCTGTGCTCGCCTCTCTCGCTTTATACAACAGAATTGTATAAATTGCGTTTATGTTTGTATAAAGCGAGAGAAAATTGTATATACACATGCAAATACATATATATTCGTCCTATACACTTATAATTATACAATAAAAATATTCCCTTGCCAACGAGAGGCTAACAACAATTTATACAAATGGCCTGCCAGCGAAATTATACAATAAAGCGAAAGAGAGAGCGATTTTTGATATACAAATATTTTTGTCAACGATTTATACAAACGAGAGGCTAACAACAATTTATACAAATGGCCTGCCAACGAAATTATACAAATCTGAAAAAGAGCCAATGAATTATATAATTGCTTCTTTTTGTATATATGTATAGCGAAATAGACATAGCTTTCAATTGTATATGTATAGCGAATTATACATATATATGTTTGATATGGAGCGCAATTATGCAAACTTTGCTATAGCCTACAAATATAATTTTTTTGTTTGCTATATGTGAAAGTTGCTCAAAAATGTAAAGGCTTTCACTGTACACTATAGAATGCTTATATAAAAAGAGAAAGTAGTACAATTTAACTTGCTTTTGGTACAATTTTCTTATGCTATGTTAGTCCTCTCCAACTGTCCCTTTTAAATAAGGGTAATAGATATTATTATTGTTAATATTATTATTATTATTAAAAATGTAATAACTTTTCATTATTAATTTTTACCAATTAGTTATTTCAAAAATAGAAGTTCGAAAAATATAATAAATAAATAATGTGATACATATTAGTTTGTTAGAATTGATGTAGTTAATTTTTAATTTTAATTGAAAATAAAATATTTCATTGTTATGTGCTCCTAAAATTCAACATTATTATCTATATCAGGTATAGTTTTAATTTTACCTTCTACGTTTTTAAAATTAATTAAAAAAAAATAGGCAGACCAATTTATTAGGAACAAACGCATTCAATTTATTTAAACAAATAAAAAAAGTGAGATCAATACAACATCTTTTGACGTAAATAAATTTTAAAAACTACTTTTAATTTATGTTTTTTAAATATTTTTTTAATTATTTAATATATCTACAAATTTTGTGGTGCTGACATGTGGCATTGTTACTTCTCCTATGATATAGATAGATTTGTTCAAAAATAAAACTCCTATTTTAGTTGGTTATCAAATCAATTTAATATTTTAATATTTAAAAAATCTTCTTTTAATTGGTTACAAATTCCCTTCTTAAACATATTTAATTATTTTTTAACGTATTTTTGTGTTATATTTTTTTGCCTCTTACATTATAGATTAAATATTAATATTAATAATATTAAATATTAATTTTATACTAAAGATATATAGATAAGTCAAAATTGTACTACAAAAAAAACCAAATAAATTTTCGGTTCTTTATATTTTAGTATTTGTGACATATTTGGGCAGATTTTTTTTCCCTCTTTGTTGTTTTTAAAAAATCATATTTATGTTTTAAAAAATTAATCAAAAGAACATGTGTGTGTTATGGTGCATATTTGATTTTTTTTACACGTGACACTTTTTCTTCTCCTATTATATATAGATAGATGTTTGTATACATATGGCTAGTATACATATCCGCGAGATGCGCGATATCAACTCTATTCATAATAAACATATTGATTTGTTAAACGGTTTCAAAATACATTTTTTTATTAAATGAATTATAAGATTTACATTGTTACAATCCAAAATTAAGTGTCAACATACATGATAGAATGTTAGTATATTTAACACCTCGACCATTTATAGCAGTTAATAGTTAATAATTATAAAAAATTAATCAATATATAAGCTCGGTTCATTATCTAAATTTGTTAGCAATTAGTTTTAATTATTTACTTTATTTATTTGAAAACAAATAATTTATTTCAGTTATATGTCTTCTATACATACTAAGAATGCATCATATTAAAAAGTAAAAGATACCTAACATATAATTATATAATTTATTTATTTATACCTTCCTTTCTCAACTGAGAATTAATTTTTATTTATTTCAAGCTTTAAATTTTTTATGTAAGAAAATCTGCATTATTAAAAAATAGGACATATAGCAAAATATGGGTTTACAACACATTATCAAGCTTATTTTTTTATTTTTTGGGAACTTATCATTTTTTTATACTAAATATTAAAATAATGTGCATTTATTTTCCTATAAAGAAGGAGTAGTTATGAGAAATTAGTTTAAATATGTAGCATAAAAAATCTAATAACTTTCGACCAAAGATAGTTCTAGATGTACTAATTAAAATTTACTGTTAAGTTTAAAAAATGAATATAAACAATCTACATTTTCTTTTTGCTATTAAGGAGGAACAGTTACACGTAGTCCGTTTAAATATTCTGTATAAAAATTCTCATAACTTCTTATAAAAAAGAGTCCTAAATAATTTAAAGTGTTAGGCACGACATATTAATATTAGGTACACAAATATTCAAAAGGTGGTAACCAGAATACAATAGATTATTTGAATTCTTCCATCCATGGAGCCTCCTAGAATTTCCCCAATTGTGAAGATGAACCCCAATTCTAGTTAGGATTTCTTCCTATATTATGGATATTGTTGTATGTTGATCCAATTGAGTGGATGATGATCAATTATGATAGAATTAGTAGTGAATCATGTTATTATTATGAATTTACATGTTTTCTATGCCTAACCCTAGTCTAATTGATGAAATTGAAGTAATGTGGATTTATGCCTTGTGAAAGGAAATCGAGGGTTTATTGATGATCTTCTAGAATTGATGATATGTATAGTAAATTGTTCAAGACTAAAAGCATGTAGACATTAATTGAATTAGAATAATGTATATGTGATGGATCATGACTAGTAAGGCTTGAGATTGAACCTTTATGACGACATATGACTAGAATCACTTAAGAATGAAGCATGTGATTAGAATGCCTTGAAATCTAGGTATGTATGATGATTGTAAGAAGTAAAGCTTTGAGAGTAAGGCTTGTAGTGAGGCATGTTGATTCCTGGGGCTTTGATAATGTGTTATGCTTAAGAAACACTTTGAGAGTAAAGTGTTCATGATCATGTTATGTAGATGTGTTGATTGAAAGGCTATTCTCATGAAAACATAGTGAACATGATAGGAGATGAAAGGTTCTCTCACATAGAATGATTTTAGGTTGAAAGATTTGCTTATCTAAAATGAATCAAGCATGTTAGACTAGAATAGCTTGAAGTTGTGACATAAGATCCCTTCATGAATAGCTTGACTTGGTAAGATAAGTCCATTTCATGACAGCTCGAGTGTAAGACCTCATAGTAGCCATGGATTGAAAAACTATACTCTCCTAAGGGTAGCTTGCACTAGTATCATAGAATACTTGCATGGTAGCTTGACTTGGTAAGACAAGATCATTTCATGGTAGCATGAGTAAAATATCGCATGGTAGCCTTGGATTGAGAAACTATACTCTCCTAAGGGTAGCTTATACTAGCATCCTAGAATGCTTGCATGGTAGCATGACTTGGTTAGGCCAAACCATTTCATTGGTAGCTAGGATGGTGAAATAATACCCTTCCTTGTATAGCTTGGACTTGCATGATAGTATGTTATTCCTTTGGTAGCTTGGTCTAGCCTAATAGGGTGCTATTCCTTGGTAGTCTAGAAATGATAAATAGTCATCATTGAGGTATGATAGCGTAAAGTGGTACTTAGCATGGGTAGGATTATGAGGTCTTATTCATGCATTGCACCAAGTATAACTTAAAGCTACTTATGAAGTATGTCTCTTATATGTTGTATGTTTAGCTTGGATTGAGTAATAGCATTTTTCCTTGAGTAGCTTGGACTTGCATAAGTAAGATGCCTTCGATGGTAGCTTGATCTAGCATAAGGTAGTATTTTCCTTGGTAGCTTTGAATAGGTAAATTATAACCATTCATGAGCAATGACTTGTCTTGGACTGGTAAAAAGGTACTCTTCAATAACAAGAATAGCTAAAGAGGGACTAGTCCCTAATAAAAATAGCATGTTTATGATGAAACTAGATTACTTCAACGAAGTATTGTAAGTATGTTCTAATATGAGATTTGCCTATATGATATATGCTTAGCTTGGATTGTTGCTATAGCTGCCTTCCATGTTGGACTAAAGATGAAGATTCCCTTGTCTATGAGAAGTAAGCTAAGGATGAGATCCAAATATGGTAAGTATGATTATGATGACCTAAAGATGGTACTTAGTGTGGGTGGAATTATGGGGTCTCATCCATTCATTGCACAAGTATACTTTGAGGTTTCTTGAGAAGTAGTTCTCTTATAATATGAAGGACTAAGGGTTGACTAATGCTTATATTATGCCTATGTTGGAGATTATGCCTATAACTACGTTATTGTCTCTTATGCTTATAGTTTATGTTTCATGAAGTATCTCTTCTGACTATGACATATATCTTATGTTGACTAACCCTTATGCTATGCTCTTATGATGTTATGCTAGCTATCATATTTAGTACTTTTTACTGATGCATACTCTTGCCTACATTCTCATCAAATGTAGGGTCTGGTGATTTTGAGTTCCATCTCCGAGGATAAGTTCATAGTATAGCAAGAATTGAAGACTTGGTGAGTCCTCATAGCATCGAGGATTTAATCACCTTTCCTTTATGTCTTTCATTTATGTTTTAGACTATTGTATGGGCTATGTCCCAAGAGTTATTCAAAGTTGTTTAGATGGTTTGAGACAGGTGTAATAAGACTTCTGCTTTACTTTTCTAAAAACTTTGATTGTATGAAAAATGTTTTAAAATTTTCGCACATTTCTATTATCTTATGTTATGATATGCTAAGTGG